GTGCACAGCAGGTCATCTACGAGGAGCAGAATCAGACTCAACACACGAAGGGAGTGTGGACTGCCAGCCATAACGTCACAAACCAGGTTTCTACAGTTTAAACCGTTCAATTTAAGACCCTTTAAGACTTTTTAAAGCCAAGTGAAGTTGAATTTAAGACCTTTTAATGCCAAGTGAAGTTGAATTTAAGACCTATTTCATAATAAACACAACTGACAAAAAAATTAATAAAAACTGTGGCAGAAACCCAAAACAACAAAGTATTTTTGGTTTTGGTTTAAGTATTCAAATATTGCTAATAGGCCAATTGTTTTATCCATATCTAACTATAGCAGAAACATTCTTAGCAGTCAGTTGTAAACATCATTTAATTTCTATAAAATACTCTAACGACTCAAAATTTAGAGTTTTAGGACCCACAGTGGCGTCTTAACCCCACTTTGCTATAGGTGAAACCCTAAGGTGCCCGTGACATAATTTTTTTTGTAAGTGAATGCTTATTGGAAAAACAACATTAACATATTACGAAACAAATTTCAAGATGCTCAGATGGACAATTGTTGAGATATTTGCATGTGAAATAACAGGAAGTGATGTCAAAGGGGAATGTCTGCATGTGAATGTTTAAAAAAATAATTTTTACCAGTTATTTTAATAGTTGAAATGAATTCCAATCATCATATGTACAATGTGTTAACATTTTTAAGACTTCTGACAGATTGATTTAAGACATTTTAAGGCTAATTAAGGCCTTATTTTTGGATTGATGAATTCAATGCCTTTTAATGATTTTTAAGGATCTGCAGGAACTCTGACAAACACAAAACAAACAAAAACACAGGAACGAGATAAACTCAAGTCGACAGGAGAGATTTTCAGAAAGTCAAAAACAGACAGTGAAACACCAACATATCAGCATAAACTTGATCCAAATCCCACAGCTACACACTGAAAAACAAAACAAACACTTTTATGTGCAACCTGGCTCCCGCCGTCCTCTCCTTGACGGAGTGGCTGGCAGCCAGCTGACTGCATCAGGATGCATTATGGCAGAGATGAAGCAGCGTTTACCTGGAGAGAGCAGCAGCACGGAGCGAAGCAGGTTCGACAGCGTCTCGATGTTCCTCAGCCTGAGGAACGACAAAAGAAAACGCAACAGGAGGGTGACTTAAATGCATTTCAAGCCCGTGGTGTAAACACTGAGAGGGAGGAAATGAGATTTGTCTGGAGGGTTTTAATCCTTAATGGGACCTGACGAGACAGATTAGGAGTTTATTAGTGAAACGCTAAATATCACTTTAAAATGAGAAATGTGCCATTTAATACGTTTGGAACATAAAGAATGTTGTTGTTTTTTTATTGTTGGAAGATTTTCATCATCAAAACTGTTTTTGGTGTTTTATTCCATTTTGTTGAGAAAAAGTAACAAGTTTAGTTTTAAAGTTGAAGAGAGACAAAATAAAATATTTTTCTCGCTATGTTTAGCTCTTAGTTACCTTCAGCTTTAACCTACCCTTTGCTACAGTTAGCTTGAAGCTAGCTTTTTGCCACTTTAAACTACCTTTTGCTATATTTAGCTCTTAGTTGATTTTAGCTTTTAGCTACCCTTTTACTACTTTTAGCTTGAAAGTAGCTTTTTGACACTTTTAACTGGCCGTTTGCTACTTTKAGATCTTAGCTGCTTTTACCTTACTATTTTGTTACTTCTAGCTTGAAGCTAGCTTTTTGACACTTAATTGCACCTTTGCTACTTTTAACTCTTAGCCACCATTAGCTTACCTTTTAGCTAATTTTAGCTTGAGTTAGCCATTTGCCACTTTTTACAGAATTGCTACGTTTAGCTCATAGTTACCTTTAGCTTTTAACTACCCATTTTCTACTTCTAGCTTGAAACTAGTTTTTTGCCGCTTTTAATTAGTTTTTAGCTGCATTTACCTCTTCGCTGCCTTTAGATTAAACTTTTGCCACTTTTAGCTTAAAGCTAGCTTTTTGCCACCTAACTGGCCGTTTGCTACATTTAGCTCTTGGTTACCTTTAGCTTTTAACTACCCGTTTACTACTTTTAGCTTGAAGCTACTTGTTTGCCACTTTTAACTGGCCGTTTGGTACATTTAGCTCGTAGTTACCTTGAGATTTTAAATACCCTTTTGCTACTTTTAGACTGAAGCTAGCTTATTGTCTCTTTAACTAGTCTTTTGCTAATTTTAGCTGTTTGCTGCTTTTAGCTTACCCGTTTCTTTTTGTTTGTTTGTTTGTTTTTTGTGTAGCAGCCATCAGCTACTTTTCTACATCGTGGAAGAAAAAGATTGTAATTGAGCTTTCTTACAATGTGATTATTTTTAACATTTCTTTGTGTTTTAACCAGAATATGAATCCAAATCTTTTCTTTTTTTTTCTCTATAAATGTATTTTAAAACATTTCCAACATGCTGTGTGAAACAGACTTGCAGAAACACTTTGGAATATGTGCACTTTCTGAAAAAGTCAACCCCCCCACACACACACACACACACAATGCTTACCGCCTTCTCCTCCATATGGAGCTCTTACCTGCCAGAGTCCTCTTCAATTTTCTCAAACGTGCGAGCCACTGCCAAGTACGGCACTCTGGAGAGAGATGAGCGTGTAGTTAGCAGGCGAAGCATCGGCGCCGACACATTTTTACATTCACGGCATTTAGCTGACTCGGATGTTCGGGAGCAACTGGCAATTAGTGCAGCAGGAGGATAAGCTTTGATACGAGGGTATCAAACTGCACGGAAACCAGGGCAACGAGGACAAAGGTCGACGCTGCTGTGTTGGGAAAACAGTGTTCTTCTGAAAATAGAAGTTTGAGAAAAAAATAAGCAGAGAGTCGTTGCTGTTTGGATCTACGGTAAAACTAAAATCTAAACAAGCTTTTCTTTTAAATCTCACAATGGTTTTCAGCTTTTATTGTTTTCATGTTTGTTCTGTTTTACAAGATGAATACATATTCCCATCTGTTTTAGCTGCCTTTTTGTGTCTTTATTAACCAAGGCCTGCCATCTAAAAGGTAAGTTTTGAAACAGGAGTTATAAACAGAGAAACTCCGGGGATATTCTGGCACGCAGCAGATTGATGGAAAACATTTGGTATAAAGTGAATCAGATCATTTGAAACTTTTTAGGGGACTAGCAGAAGTTTTAAGAGATGACAGTTTTACTTTTGGCCTTGACTCCAGCAGGCGTGCTCCACCGGGTGGTAGTTTGGTCGGGAAGGATCGTAGTCCGTCTGTCCTGATGTGGAGTTTCTGAAAAACAAGTAAATGTACTCCATTACTGCCCACCATTGCAAATGAGTAAATTTTTGTTTGAGTACTGTACTTAAGTACAGTTTTTGAGTATCTTTTCTTGAGTAATTATTTTTTGGGGTACTTATGACTTTCCCTCCACTACATTTCAAAGACAAATATTGTACTTTTGACTCCACTGCATTTTCAGGAAGCTTTAAAGTACTTGTTACTTTTGGTTCTTGAAATGCCCAACCGTGTTCCTCACAAGGGGAGCCAATCACAGTTGTAGCTCACACATGGGATAGATTTGGAATAGGGTTGGGCAATCTTGGCAAAAAAATTAATCACGATTAATCGAGGTATTTAGCCAAAAAGAAAAAAATTGTCTAGGTCTTCTGGACGGGTTCTTCTCTAATGAAACGTTTCGTCTCTCCTCCAAGAGACTTCTTCAGTCTGAGAGTTTCAAGCAAAATTCAGGCTTTTAAG